GAAGGAGGAGGAGGAGGAGGAGGAGGAAGAGAAGGAGGAAGAGGAGGAAGAAGAGGAAGAGGAGGAGGAGGAAGAGGAGGAGGAGGAGGAGGAGGAGGTGAAGGTGGATAGAACACAAACGGCCGCACGAAGAGAGCTCGTCGAACGGGCTCTGCTCTCCTCTTCTCCTCCTTCGGTTCTCGCAGGCTATGGTTTCGTAACACGCGTCTTTCCCGCTCTCCGCCTCGCTCCTCTTCCACAGCCGTCCGTCCGTCCGTTCGTTCGTTGGTTCGCTCGTTCGTGCAATGCGTTCTACGACGTTCGCGATACGCGTCTTTTCAAAACTCGGGGATCCGTGAGTACTCGCGTTCCGTAGGATCGAAGAGAACCTGTGCTGACAGCGATGTCGCCGCGATGGCCTGTCCTTTTTCGCGTATGTCGTTCCCGCCTCTCGAAAAAACACCGCGATCGATTCGTGGCCGATGGCGACGCGAAAAGATCGCGAGCAGCTCTTGCAATCGTCGGCGAGAGACACTCGTGATTTCTCCAGCGAAAGCTGCGAGACGATGGGAGAGAAAAAAGAAAAAATGGCGTATAGAGAGATAGGGAAAGAAAGAGAAGAGTTTGGAGGACGAAATCGCGACGCTGCGCGTATCGCGCAGTAGGCACGACGCGTGACGCGCGACGTATCGGACCCGCCGCTACGCCAAACAGCACCTCAAGACACCGTCCATACGGATCTCTAGGGAGCTCCGTGATTATTCCGGGCGCAAATTTATTTTTATCGGGCTGTACCGGTCTGTTCTCGCGCTCGGAAGCCAGCGTTGCCGGATTACGAGTTTTTCCCCCGATTGCCGACGAGATCGAGCTCGACCCGGCCGTGGCGACGTATCGGCCACGGTTGCGAGAGAAAACATCGCGGACTCGTTAAAAAAAGACAATTCGCGGACTTTGTCGAAAGGCGTGCGTTTCTCGGGGCGCGATACGCGCGCGTCTTTGTGGTATTTTCGTTGAACAGCGGCGGCAACAGCAGCAGCGGCGGCGGCGGCGATGGCGGCGGTGGCGACGGCGTATCGACGAGAAAGCTCGGAGAACGAGAACACCGTTCCGTGTCTCTCTCCGTGAATTTTCTAGAGGCGATGTCGTCTCGCGTGTACCGCGGGAGGAGAACGCAACGAGCGAGAAATTCGAACGATCCGACGATTCCGTTGGCAACCGAGTTACGCGGAGATTTCGCGAAAACCTTGGGATCCGCGAAACGAAAAGCGCTTTCCCCGCGAGCGGTAACGACGCGAAATTTTACGAGCAACCTTCGCGTACGCGAATCGCAGGAGAAGCGTGTAGACGCGAGAGCGAGCGATCGCAGGCCGCGTGGAAGGTTGGAAGGCTGGAACACGGTGGGAAGAAAAAGTAGGATCGAAATTCGCGGGACTCGCAAGCGTTCGATACGTCGCGAGGCATCTCCCGTTACGTCGTTTTATTTAACACGCACGGTCGATGGCAGCCGTGGTTGGCAAAATCGAAAACCCGTTACGTCGTCAACGTCCGCGAATGCCCGCGAACCGATGGAATTTTACGAATCGCTACGCTGCTGCGATCGGCTGCCAACTACGGTACATCGCGAACGATATCGCGGTCCGAAGGGTATCGGTGGTCGTTAATTCGCTCGGGTGTCCTAGGGACAGTGGCGGAGGATGGGAAAAGGGATAAAAAGGAAAAGGGGGGAGAGAGAGAGAGAGAGAGAGAGAGGAAAATCCAGGAAAGCCGAAGAATTTTCGGACTCTCGATCCCGTGACCGGCGCGAATGCCTCGATTCTTCCATCCGAGCGTGCGTAGTCTGAGATGGCTCGTAAATAGCCGCCGCACCAGAAGCGGTCGTAAGGGTTTCCCTTATCTGCGTCAGCGTTTCTGCTCGCTC